CGAAATATGTTAATATTAATAATGTTAGTGACACTTCAATATGATTAATTATTTTTAAATTACGTGTATAGGCTTTCGTTCTCTCTCTGTGTCGCTTTGTCCTTCATTATGCTCAAGTGAAAATTCGTCAAACGATTTGTTGTCTAGCTTTGTTCCTTTTTGTCCCATTGTCGATCGAAAACGACCATTTTTCGATTTTCCATTAGATAAAATTGCGTTTATTATTATGTAAAATGTCGACTAAATTTAGCTTTTCTATGAACATTTTTTACATTTTTCTTCTTTTTTCCCAACAAATTATCTAACATTGTAAAATTCACATTCATTATTATAGAAAATGACAATATTGAATACGCATTGTTTGCCGGCAATGTGAGTTCAATGAATTGTTTCATCGAAAAAATTATTAATAATTCAAAAACTTGTGAATTAAAAGCTATGGTGTTTTTTTTTCAATGAAAAGAAACATTCATCAATTTGTGTTGATTCTATTGACAAAATCCCACTAGCAAAACCATTATTGAATGTTCATTTTACAAAACTGCATTTCGGTGACGTCACCGTTTCACGTAATTACTTTTTTTTCTTCATTTCATACCGGTATTTCATGCATCTAGGTTTTGCAAAGACATACAAATTAGCCGACGTTCAATGGAAAAAAAGAAAAGAACAAAAACTCGCTAGGGTGATAAGTTGTTGTCTTAATGAAGCCTATTCTAGATATGTGCAGGTGATTAGCAATTATTGATTATGAAAGACTGTATTTTGCGAAGAAGAATGACCGTTTAGCGTGATGAGGTGTAATAATGAAGTTGGAATAACTGTTTTTAAACATCAATATCGTTTATTATGAACATGATGTCTTCCACTCTTTGATTCTGTGTCGTGTTCGCGGCAGATGCACGCAAAAGAATCGGCGCTACATAGATTTTGCTTTATAGTTTTCTTTTCGACGCGTGATTTTTAATGTGAGAAAATTTGGAAAATACACGATTTTTGGATTCGTTGATGTCGAAAGTCCACGATTGAATGTGAAATAAAAAGGCTTTCATCCCAAATCCGATTCACACCTTCGAATCGAAAATGAAGTCGTCAACCATTGTGACAGATGGAAATTTCTCATTCTTTTCACTTCGGACTCATCCATTGTGCAACGTAATTCGATTCTTATTTGAGCCGAAATATTTAAATTGCTTATGAGTTTTTGTTGTTGGATACAAACCGATTCGATTTAAAATGGCTCAAATGCATGGAAATCGGGCTCCAGGTCTATGCACTTTTATGGAATACAATATGAAAGAATTTCGAAAACAATGACCAAAAAAGACGGATTTCCATGTAAATCCGCTTCGACTTTCTCGATACACATTGAATGAGAGAACTAACGAAATCAGTTAAATGATTGGATAATTACGAGTAGGAAGAGGCGTTGACGAACAAAGCAGAGAGAAGAGAGAGAAAAAAAAAACAACCATGACGACAACAATGGTATTTTTCATGTATTGTTTTGATCACTTTGATCTGTCTCTTCATCTCTCTACACTCAATCTCTTCTCGTTTCATCGTCGTTCTTTTGTGAACGAGTTTGTTATTACATATTTACTATTAATTCTCACTTCATTTTATCACAACAACTCAATTTGTTTGTTGCGATCGCAAGACCCGAAATACCGAAATAAAAAAACGACATTGAGTAACGAAATGAAAAAAAAAAAAACGCTTGATTTCTTCAGAGATCTCGTTGGTTTCGAGTGCGTGGCATCAAGCATCACGATAATCAGAATCGTGTACACTTTAAAAGCGTTCTCTCTCTCAACTTTTTGATCGCATAGTGTTCCATCCAATCAGTTACGGTCCATTCCATTGGGATTGATTGTTTCGTTCCTCTCTCTCACTCGTTCACTTTGAACATTTCCACTGTCTGTCTATTCAATCGCATTTTAATTTGGATCCATTGAATATTCTTGCGCTTCTCATGATTCGCTGGCGTATTTCGAATCAATTCTTTTTGGAGACGGTTTTTCCATAAGTAACCGCAATTAGAAGTAGCTCGTTATTCAATAGAGCCATTGTTATTTATTTCCAAGTAATTTTCATTTGGTTCTCGGAAGTTTGTGTGAAATGGCAGCAGTCGTACAAAAAAAAAACCGTGCCGAGTGAACGTGTCGCTATTTGCTGGGAACGTGGGGAAGAAAAAAAAAGAAATGATTAAAAGCAAATAGTTTTTGGCAAAAACTTGAATGGCAACCTATTTAAAATTCATTAATTACTTCTCCACTCTTCACACAGCTAAGAAATTCGGCGCAAATGAATGAACCGTTAATATCGTGCTTTCCTTTTGATGTCAGCAGTTCTTTTCGCCACTTTGAATGGAGTTTTCAATAAAATTCCAATTACACCCATTTTCAATTCTCTTCCGTTCAATTTGCGACCGTTTTTTTTTTTGGTCGAGAGTTCAACAGCATGCCATTTTACGAAGTTTCTATTTTGACGCGTCTCAAACGTTCTTTGGGCAAAACAATTTTTGTTTGTTTGTATATTTTGGTTTATTTCAAAAACCTTGATGATATTTTTAATATGTTGACAGTAAAAGCTAATCCACGAAATAACAATTAAAATATTTAAATTGCGTAAAATTGCTAAACGAACGTAATCAGGATGATCCAAAGTAGACAGACTAATCCCTGTGAGAAAACTACTGGCATTCTTATCGAACGAGAAATAATATCAATAATCCGATGTGGACAGTGTCTAAACGTGCAGAATTAACGCCATCAAAATGCTAATGCAAATCATTTTTATTGAGGGAATAGATAAAATCGAAATAATCTTGTCGTTCGACTAACTCTGAATTATGGAACAATTAATAATATAAGTGTGCGCCAAAATATGATGCGTCGCCCATGTCTTTGTGGGAGCGAGATTTGGTTAATCATGATAACGATTGTTCGATCTATCGATCGCTCGCTCGAGAAAGAAGAAGTTTTTCAAATGTTGAAATCCACTTGGGTAACTGTTTGTTTGTCTCGTTCGTAAAAGACAACCGTCCGAATATAGTATACCGAACTAACAAAATGATTTGAATGTGAAAAGGCATCATCATCTGCCTGAAGTAGTTATCTCAATGAAAAGGCTTCCGTTGGCATTTTGAAATGACAACAATAAAGCCTGATGCGAATTATCTTCTCCTAATCAGTTTGGCAAGAAAATGACATAAAAACAAACCGCGTCTCGGCTCATCCACACATTTATGGATGCCGCAAACCCGCGAACAAAAAACGAATCGAAAATAATAAGCGATTGTATCATTTCCATTAAAATCCAATAAATTCTATCGAATTTACGAATTCTAATTAATTTATTAATAAAAATATCCAACAACACCGTTTTATTGCAGGAAAAAATGTGGAATATTCATAAATGCCGATGCGACGCGATCGTCAACAGCAACAACAAACTTGTATAGAAGAATATGTAAATTAAATTAGTATTTTCTTATTTATATATGAAGCTCAGGCACAAGCATTCGACATGGTGTGAAAAGAAGCATAAATAGAAATTTGACGAAGAAAAAAGAAAACAACGGAAAAATTATGACACCGAATTGACTCAACAACAAATAAAAAAAAATGCTTTAAATACCAAATAATTTGGTATAATGATATACAGCGGCTCGTTGTAGGAAAAAATGGCTTATAATTCACAGCTTCTTTATTTATATTCGAAATGGGTTATTATGCGGCGCTGGGATTTGTTTTCTTCCTTCGTTTCAATCAAAACCGCTTTTTAGTATGACAATGAACAATCGACTAAACAGCATTCGAATGCTGAAAGGAATGAAAATGGAAACGTAACCGAATTTCATAAATCAATATTCCCAACCACATGAACGAGAGATGTAAATAAGGCGGTTTCAGCATTTGAGATTATTGTCCTCAATTTTGAATTGTTTCATTCCATTCGCACATGACTGACCATTCGGAAAGTGTAACCAAAAGATTAAAGTCATCCGAACCAATTGATCGAGTCGATTGAACGATGTAAAAGGAAGACAGGAATGTGACGCATCGCACAGCATGCGCTCACAAAGCGGATTGATCCGACATTGTGATTAAGAATGTATGATGTTCAAATTAGATTAAATTATACCAATATGAATCTCATGTTTCCTTTTTGAGATTTTTATAACCGACAATTTATGTGTCAACCCCATGGATGCAACAATTACGATTAAATGAGTCATTTTGAGTGATCACATAGGCTTCATTTTAGTGTGTAATCTCAATGTTTAAAATAACTATTGAAAATTGGATGACGGTTCGAAATATTGACTGTGTCATAAAAATTCAGGGTCAGTGCTTCGTATTCTGATGTTTAATAATAAAATATCTGAAGGAGAAAAAAATATTTCAACGAAGAATTTTTCGTTTGGCGGCAAAAAATATGTTCAAATTCTTTCAAGTTCCCGCACGAAACAACTTTCATGCAGCTTTTTTCCAGAAGAAATTCATTTCAGTACATTTTATATGATGGCGCTGTGATCGCTGAAAAGCTGCTCTCCACAAACTGTGTGTATGCCGGTGATAAGAAAACTGTTGAAACGATGGCAATTCGTCTGATTTATTGTTGCATATTGGAAACGACGAGGCAAAAAGTAAAATGAAAATTATTTTCCATAATTACAATAGAATCAAAATCCAAACGTAATTTCAATAAAATACCCAAAAATACAACAAACAGTTTATTCATAAAAACAAAAGGCCTTATTCGAGATGCTGAAATGTTAAAGTTGTTGCCAACATAAATGTTGAAAATCAATTCATACTCTTTGAAACGATTTATTGTTTACAGCAAAGAATTGAAATTTGCATATCAATTTTCAACTTGAAAAAAAAAACATAAATTAAATTCCATTCATAAAAAATCAAAGAAAAAAAAATAAGAACCTATATTACTACTGAATAATTTCATCAATTGGTGCAATGACTGCCACAATCGGCATTTGTAGACTTTTGTGAGTTGAGTTGACAGTTGCCAACCGAAGCCGGTGAAAAATCGTATCAAGTGACATTTGGATTCAACATGGCTCACCTCTCTTCAAACCATCGCTTCTACTTCCTTTTCCGCGAATGTGATTGATCAGAAAGAATCATGCCGGTGGGTTCTCCGCAAAAAAATTATTTTTTTTCACATTAAATAAAAAGAAATTATTTTAAAAATATACGAAAATTATTGTGAAATTATTGTTCATTGTGTTGACCATCGAAAATTGAATATTTTGTGAAATTTTCGACCGAAAATTTGCTATTAAAAAGTGGACACTATGTGTATCATATACACATGGCAATTTATGTCACTGCATGTATCGTTGTGTAGTGTATGTTTATTGAGCCATTGTCTGGAACGATAAACATATTTCGTATGAAAAAATTGCTCCATGTTTTCGTCAAATTTATCGACGTAAATTTTTTTTTTGCGCAATTTTGTGCATTGGAAATAATTACTAGCAAATCGGTCGAAATGAGTAAATTAAATCGTTGAAGGCTACAGAATAATAATTTCACAATAGTTGTAATAGTTAACATAACCTCAATATCAAACGTTTGCTCACTTTCCCATGCCTTAACGCAAAACATCCAAAAGTTTGGAAAACAAAACCATTTTAGTTCGTTTCATTTAAGTTTGGATATCGAAGAAAAATGTTGATATAATTTTTTTTGTAAAGTTCAAAATGTGTTTGGCAACAATATGGACTTGGAAATGATTTCAACATGTTCTTATCGTTGCTATGGTTTTCCATGCTCGTTTGAAGTTGTGAAAATTGCGATTAGGGGCATGGCTGAATGTGTGTCAAATCAATATAAATCAAACCGATATCAATATCTGTAAATAAAAATCATTTCTTTTTTTCCATTTGCAGCTCGCTAAAGATTTATTGCACCCATTGCCCGCTGAAGAGAAGCGAAAGCACAAACTTAAACGTTTGGTGCAACATCCAAATTCATACTTCATGGATGTCAAATGCCCAGGATGCTACAAAATTACAACAGTTTTTAGCCATGCTCAAGGTGTTGTCGTTTGTGCCGGTTGTTCAACAATCTTGTGTCAACCAACTGGTGGACGTGCTAAGCTGACCGAAGGTAAGGCCAATTTCCACTTAAATTACAAAATGTGGTGCAATCACCGAAGAAAAAGAAGAAGAAGAAGAAGAAGAAGAAGAAGTAATCAATATCAATGTGACTCATCAAATGTGTTTTCGATTCGTTCTACTTTCAGGATGCTCATTCAGACGGAAGCCACACTAAGCACGATCTTTTCTAATTAAAACAAACGATTTAAGCTGCAACTGGATTTTAATCAGTTATTTCCAAAAAGTGTAAAAAATGAATTGTTTTTTACAAAAACCACAACAACAACCGAAAGCGAAATAAAAATGAAAATCAACAGTTAAAAAAAAATCATGATTGTGTTTTCCTTAAATCCAAGTTCAACTAATTGTTTCCGAATAGTGAACGAAATTTCTGATGCAAATTAAACAACCATTCCATTCGAATAAATTATATTTAGTTTTATTTTGAACATATTTATTTAAAATGGATGAAAAAATAGTAACAATTTCTTATGTTCTAACTCTGATTTGCGGCCCATTTCTTGGGACATTCACATAGAAAGAAAATCGTCGTTCATGGAATGGTATTCGTTATTTCTTCTCGTTACCTCTACTGAAATTTTTGTTCTCGTTAGCATTGAAATGTTTGTTCACGGCGCTCATTTCGTTTGGGCTGAACTGAAGCACCGCGCTTATTGCATTCACTTTATGGCATTGGCCATCTTTATCGTTCGATAGTAAGAAGCTTAGAAAAACATTTTTCAGGTATTCCAAATTGGCACCTTCACGTGTCTTGCATCGTTCGAGACGGTCCACGTTTTCTTCTAAATTCGCAATTTTCTCATACAATTGCTGCTGTGAGGCGGCTTTATCCTGTAAGGCTTGACGCAGTGTTTGTTCGGCCAAATGCTTGGCTCTCCGTAGTGATGTAATTTCGACTTCTTTTCGAGACAATTCATGAACATAATGAAGCATTGGCATTGGCTCTTTGGAATTTGACACTTTTCCACTGAGCACTAATGCGGTTTGATTGACATCGTCACTTGAACCATGAAACGAATTTCCCATACTGGCTAGTGTTTCCCTTGGATCTTTTGGATCTGATCCAGACTTTTCACTTTCGGCTGTTTCGCTGCGTTTTCGAATCGGCTTCGGCATCATGAATACATCAAACGACGCTTTCAACGTGGCGATTTCATTCTCTTTTTCCTCCAACAAAGCTAATGAACGCTCCCGTTGCTTCTGTAATTGACCCTCTAACTCGGCTTGCTTTGCACGATATTCGACCTCTGTATTCGAAATGGCCTCTTTCCATCGATTGCGCTCAGCTCGTAGCTCATTTTTATGCTCCTGGTTTTTATTGCGCAATTCCGTCTCCTGTTCATCCAAATTACGGTTCAATACTTCAATTTTTGTCTGCAGTGTTTTGATATTCGATTTTTGAGTTTCGATTTGATTCTTGGCTTGATCAATGTCAGCAAGAAGGTCGGCCTTTTCCTTAAGCAACGTTTCGTGAAGCACTGAACAATTACACGGAGCATTGAATGATGATTTACCGGTAGCCGTGTCAAATGTGATGTAAAGTCTATCGAAAAGATCAACCGGTTTATCCAGTTTTGAATTTTCGATTAGTAAAACATTATGTAACAGCAGAATCTCGTTAATCAACTCATTCACATCCCATTGATTGTACTTGAAAATGGTCGATGTTGAATCCTTTCTCTCACTCAATCTGTCATCCACTACCGTTGAATGACTCAGTTGAGCGATTCTCTCTTTGAATTTTGCGATATTATCTTGATCTGTTTGCCGTAAACGATCATACAGGCCAACCGTTGCCGATAGCTCGGCCAATCGGCTCTCTAAACTAGCTACACGTTCTTCATGCATGGCAGCCAATGCTTTGTTTCGTTCCTCGGCCAAATAAGCGCGATGTTGTTCTGATTGAATTGCTGCTGTGTGTTGTTGCTTCAAGTTCATCATTTCTGATTGCAATTTCTTCAGAATACTTTCAGACGGAATGTCATTCTTTGCCGCTTTACTCAGTTCACGCTCATTCTCTTTGAGTTTGCGTTTCGTTTGTTCCAGTTCGGCTGTAATTTCGCTGAAACGTCCATCGTCACCGGTTTTTGAGTAGCGATTTTTCATATCGTTGAGTTGCATCTGTAGATTTTCCTTAATTTGTCGCTCGTCCGCCAGCAATTTTTGAAGTTCACGAACCATGGCCAGCTGGTTGTTACTTTCTTTTTCCCATTCGTGACGTTCTATTATCAATTTGCTCTTGACCTTTTCCACCTCGAGCTTAGTTTGACCGGCAGATTTACTCAATTTATCTTGTAGCTCGGAAATGGTCTGATCCTTTGCTTTCAATTCATTGCGAACGGATTTTTTATCAGCTTGGAATGATGCCTCCATTTTTGATTTCTCTGCGGACAGCGTAGCCAAAGAATTCATAAGAGTTGAAATCTGCATCCGGAGTTGATCGGCATCATCATTGCCACCACCACCAGATGCACTCGACGCTTCAGCAGCGAGAATGATTGTTGAAGCTGTTGCAGCTACGCTTTCACTTGAACTAACAGCTGCATCGGATTTTTTCGATGTTAACGATGCTAAACTAGCGTCCAATGCCTCTTTTTCCTTCAATAAGCTCTTGTAGGCAGCGACCACATCTGCAAATACAAAACATATTGTTTGAGTAATTGAGTGAATCGGGGAAAATTCCACTGTTTACCTTTCAATCGGGTTTCATATCGGGTTAGCTGCTTTTTCTGGTTTTCCACCATCGATTCCAACTCCTTTTGTGATTTCGACATCCTCACTTGATCCGTAAAAACCGTACAAAATCACGAAAAAAATCTGTTTGCAATGCCCAAGGTCTTGTTAGCAAAAACAATTTTTAATTAAATTTTTTGTGTTACACGACATTTAAGATCCATTGCCACAAATCATCTCAACTTTGTTTGTATTCACTTTGTCGACAGCTCAAAAAGGCCTCTCTGAACTGTCACTATGAGCCTTTCTCAAATTGAAGAGGCCTCTGGCCCACTGAAAATGAGCAATCCAATCGAATCGTTGCTCCGCGAAGAGAATTTGAACTTTAGGTTCGTTTTGATTTTGTTCGAGCATTGAAACAACAATGAAATACGTTTAAAGACGTATATTAGTACATTCTTATCGCATAAACTTCAAATTTGATTTTCATCAAAAAAACATATACATTTATACCGGTTCGATTGTTCAAAAAGTAATGCTATTTTATATATAATGCCTAAATTGTGTTTAAATAAAGTGTGACAACGAAGTCGTATAAATATGTAAAGTTTGATATATCATACAAGGTTACTGATTCAGAACAGAATGGTGGTTTACATCGAAAAAATCATAAATAGGGTTTATATATGGGTTTGGTTTGTTTGTTATCACTTTAAAAGAGAAACACGGTCAGATATACATATTTTATCTATTAGAAAAAGGAAATGATGAAAGTGCGACTATATCGGCTGAAGAGAGACTCCTCCCACAAATACTTGATGATATTTCGAGCAATTCGAAAACAAACATAAAAAATTCCACTGCATTCCCGCATTTTACGAAGAATATTGGCTTTCATCTTTTTTCCACATAGCCCAAGCAAAGATTCGGCTTCTTGTCAACAATTTGATCTCATTATATGGCTGGCGGCGAGATCGTTTTCACTAATTTCATGTTATAAAGCATTTTTTTTCTTTTGAATTAAGTAACTTCAGTTAGAGACTATCAATGGACAAACTCTATGGATTCACATCCTTGGATTTACTTTTCAAGCCATGACCCAGTCACTGAATTTGGTGATTTCAGCTGTGAATATTGAAAATAATCGAATCAGTCATTCTGTTTGGATCCATATGAATGTCATCCATTTACCTTTACATTGAACTGCTTGATTGTTCCCTCCAGAGCGGATGCGTTGCCAGAGAAGTAAGCAGAGACGGCATTGTGTAATAGCACTAGTTGTTTATGCATCACTTTAATCTGAAAGTGCAAAAGATCAATGAAAATGCTGTTCTTCATCAATTTTCCGCTCATTCTAACACTAACCCGGTTTTCATCGAGAAATTGCATCTTAACAGCAACATCGGTTCTCAATTTCTCGTAGCTTTCTTTGTGTTTGGCGTAACTCTTCTGCGCATCTTCACCGTTAGCAACTGGAGCTTCACCCTTGCTGCTCTCCAAATCCATTCGATATGCATCATATTCAATCCTATTCAAACAAATTACACAATAAAATTCAATTTTCAAAGTATTTTGGCATTTCAATCACTTACCTCGCCACTTCATATTGTCGTATCGTGATCAATGTATCTTCAATGGTTTTATTGCATAGTGTGCTCACGGACGACACAAAAAAGTTCAAGGCATTCAACAAAAGTTCGCCGTTTTTGGTGAGACTGCGTTGTGTTTCGGAGTTATAAAGAAATTCCTGTTGTAGTTCGGGACTTTTTTGGGCCAAATCGGAGAATGCCTGAAAACAAAATTATTTATTAAAAAGAAGATTTCAATTGAATTTTCGTTTTGAAAATGTTACCTCCGACAAACAGTGTTGAGTTTGCACCACATGATGGAAATGTGAGCTGAGTGCTCGAGTCAGACGCAAGATTTGTAGATACTTTCGTTGTGTCTCTCGCAATTGTTCGATTTGTGCTTCCAGTTCCGAGTCAACGGTGCGCGTGGATTTGCCCAATTTCTCAAGCATAAGCTGACGTGTACATTTATAAGTTGATATACTCCAATTTTTCAATGTATCAATCTTTGAAACGCTATTTTTCAAAAACGTCCCCGATTCACCGTTGAACGATGGGCTGAGCGGTGTCGGTGTGGTTGGAGCTGATGAAGAGACGTTTGATTGTCATTAATAATCGGTACTCAAAAGTGAAAGGTAAATCATAACTCACCAGAATTGGTGCGAATATGTAAGCTACTTGGATGCTTAACGCGACCCTCGATACCTGACTGTATAGCACTGCTTTCGTTCATTGGCGGTGCATCTTTGAGCATTTCGTGAATACTGCGTTCACTGTGACTGGATGAATGGGCCATGGTTTCTTGCTTCTTATTCGAGAGAAATCACTACCTGTACGAATCAAATAAATCACACCACTTAAAATATGCTTGTCCAATTCGATTAAAAAAAAAACAAATTTCACTCTGATCGATCACCAATTCAATCTCGTGTAATGCAGTTATTGAATAATAAGTGATATCAAAATTGATTTCGTATTGATTAATTCAGTTTGCTTAATTCGCACGGTTCGCTAGGTAATTTGAGGCGGCGACAACAATCCATTCACTCATATGTCAAACAAAAAGAAAGAAAAACACATACTATTTCACACCTTTGCTTAAAATCACACAGTCGGACTTATGTATGGCAATCGGTACGGCTTCGATTGAATCTCATTTAGTTTTGACCAGCAAAACAAATAAAAAAACCAAGCACAATTTTCACAAGGAATAAAAACTAAGGATTGTTCAAGAAAAAAATGATATATAATAATTGGTTTGACATGAAATGCTTTGATAAGTGTTACTGTATGCGATGACAACTAATAAAACATAAATGGAATCAACATCATCAATCTAAATGTAATGTAATATGCACTCAATACCAACATATTGCTGTTAACATTACATATAATTCGCCCTAATGATTCGCTTGAGTCATCGCGGTGTTTCGGTTGGCAACACGTATGTGTGCGGTGTACTGGTTTGTGAATCGATTTCATGCGAGTGTATTGGTTGCAATGAGTTGTAAACAACCACCACAGCATCAGACGACGCTGACATCTAGTGGATTAACGCAGAGATACCCACAAGCTGTCAATTTTTCAAATTTTAGTACGAAATCCACGAGAAAAACGATTACGATCTGAAGCAACACTAGTTGATTTTGAATTGTTTCTCTGATTTCAGATTCGGAGAAAAAATCATGTAAAACTCCATATTATTCACTTTTCAAAGCGGGAGAAATTCAAAAATACCAATGAAGAATTTAATATAAAAAAAATGATGACAACGAATCCATTTATCTGCTATTTCCTTGATAAAAACCAATATGAAAATAAGTCAATGGTTTATTTTATGAAGATCCACAGCCGATAAACTTTGTCTCAAATATTTGAATACCATTTTTTACTTCTTCTCCTGATTACGAGAGTATTATTTATCGCTTCAACTCCAAAAAATAATCAAAATTCAGCATACAACGTTCATTGCATTCTTTCTTTTCTTTTCTTTTTCTTGTTGATAGTGCCATTCACATCTTTCGAAGAAACTGGCATAAAGTGAAACATGTGTACTGAAATAGAGCAGTAGGCCATAAATACGCGTTGTGCCCTTTGACTTGTCACTTCTGATGAAAACAGTTTTTCAGAATTGTTTTCCAAATATCTTTTTTTATATCTTTTTATTGCGTTCCAAATAACTTGTTTTCTTTGTTGGTTAACGTGAACTTGTTTATCACTTTCTTGATACTCATCTTCTTTTGTAAAGGGATCGAACAAGTTTTTCTTCCACCAAATCAATGAATTGCTTCTAAAACCATAGAAAGTTTTACATAGTTCGATGAAATAGATTTTGATTAGTCATAAAGATCATCATAAATTGGAGACCTTTAAATCGGAAACAATTTCGAGATTGTGCGTAATTTCTTTAGATTATTAATTTACCTCCCACTCGTGCGCACGTCTATTTCTTGATACCATCGTCGCATAACAAAGACACAGTTTGTCTGCGTTTTACGCATATGTGTATTGCAGCTTGTATCCGTTCGCCGTCGATCTTTTCTCTTTTGATTGACACAGAAAAAAACAAGAAATTCATGTGGCGAAAGAGAGCCCTCAAGTTCATTGCTCCGATGTGGCGCAAACATGCCATGCTTGCGTTCAAAAGACCATACAAAAACAAATATGAATATGGTAATCGACTCTGTTTTCCTCTTCGGATTCCGTGCGATTTGTATATTCCTCTTGAGCTGTTTCACGCGGTTAGGACCACTTAAGAATTCCATTAGATATTTCGTACGCGTATTTGATTGTGAATAAATTACCAACGAACTGCCTTTTCATTGAGCCATAAAAACAAGACAAAACGTTATGATACGCAACATTCTTCTTCTTTCTTCTTTCATATTGGAGCCTTTTGATTTTGGTTTTGGTTTCTTTCATCAATATTGGATTCATTCGATGCGTTCTCCGAATAGTAAAATGTTGGAGATACTAACATTTTACTGCAGTTTAATAATCAAACCGTTTTATTTTCTCCTTTGAAATATCCGTTATTAATATTGTGGTGAGGTAAACCATGTGCATCGGTATATCAAAACCGAACAATCGTTAAAATTTCTCTTGAGAAAAGTGGTCATAAACATATGTATGTTTGGAAAAATGTTTGTCACATTGTTTTGTTTTATTATGCCCGACATCAGGAATAACAATACATGGACGATACAAGACAGATATAACGCGATTAAATCAACTGCACTCCGACTTTTATACAAATCGCTAATGCTGAAGCCATACCGAACGCGTTGAATTAGAGGACATTCAACTTTTATCCTACTCATAATGCGACTAATTGAAGCAATTGAATGACACATGTACGATCATGTCACAAGCTACAGAGAAAATGAAGCAGCTATATGCAAGCAGGTCAAATGCTTCTCTTTATCGAAAGTTATTAGGTCAATCAATGCCGTTGATCCATTAAACCTGACGCCAATATCACGTTGCATGCGACGGAAAAATGAATATTCGGAATAGAGCATTTTAAGCATAGATCAAATGATTCAATTTAAAATCTTTCTTCGGATTTGTTGAATCTTCTTCTTCTTTTCTTTTTTTGTGTCAATTTTGGGCGAATCGCATATAATAATCCTCATTTCAGTTCGAAGATTTTATTTAGAATAAAATTCTCAGAAAATTAATTGAAATTCTAACTCAATGATTTGTTTCTGCAAAAGTGATTATAAAAATCTCTTTTGCCATACATTGTAACAAATGTGTGTGAATAAATAGAATGTTCTAAAAAAATGCTGCTTGTTTGCAGAAAGCGACCGCGTCGCTCTGGCGGCAATTCTTCGAAATAATTTCCATGCAAACATTGACATTCCAAAGTTAGACCATACGCTTTCCAAAGTCTGCAGTCAAAACATCGCCATTTTCTAAGTACATCATTCTTGATTTACTTGTGCGTTTGGGCGAAAGTGTTTTAATATCTTAGAAAAAAGTAGGAAAAACCCCTTTTCCCACATTTATTTGTTTTATTTTTTAAAACAAATTCGATTTTTATTCCATTGAGACATTGAGTACGAATACCACATAAAATATGGGCGATTGTGAGTATATAATTTTTTTCATCCGCTTGAAGCGTGCCTTCTACGCATAAAAACCAATAAAAGCTATAAAAATGTCTGCTTCCTTGAAAAAACTAGTTTTGAGCATATAGGACAATTTTGTAGCTGCTTAAAATTAGAAAAAAGTGTTTTTGAATGCAATTGTGTATTGATGGATGTGATTTTTCTTGTAGATTACGGCAATTATGGAAACAACGGTAGCGGTGGCGGTGGTGCACCAGCACCCAATTTTTCCGTGCCTCCGCCAAGCTTCAATAAAGGATCCGGAAACAATTATGGACCACCACCTCAGACTGGCAATAATTACGGGCCACCACCTCCACAGCAAGGCAATTGGGGTCCGCCAAATCCATCATCACGTAGCGACGACAATTCCGGTGGATACGGAGGCGGCTTCCAGAATCGCAACAGCCAAGGCCGTGGTGGCGGCAGTTTCGGAAACAGTCAACGTAAGTTCTGAACTAATTGCAGATTTAGCCGGTATTTAGCTCAAACTGAGGATGCAAACTAATGTGTATTACACTCATTTTATTCAATTCAAATATTAGGCAATGATAGCTACGGTGACCGCAAAAATAATTTCAGGTAGGCTATTCCCATTTTTTCCTATTAGTTTACAATAAAAAACAAAACAAAAAAACAATTGTCCATAAAAACACATTTGAAACGCAACAATCCTGGTAACGAAAGTACAAACATGAAAAGCGCAATCTATGAACATAAACATCGATTATGTTACACATGAAAACAGAACAGAACAAAACAACAACCAAAACAAGCGAACGAAGTTGTATTTTCGAATCTAAGAAGCGATCATTTTACTAATCGTAATTCACACGATTTTGTTAACCAATTATATGAACAAATAAGGGGTAAATGTACATTTTAATTCAAAGGTGTGTTTATCCAAAGGTATTTTTACAGAGGTAATTTTTTTCCATACACAAATATCAACTTTCGAACAAAAAAAATAATAATAATCAACAACAACACAAAATACAAAATGTGTCGCTTAAATCAAATGAACAAAACAAACATATAACGTTTTCTCTTCAACAAAATTGAATAATTAGAGTGTAATGAAAGCAACTGCATCACACAGTGTGTCACATTTAAGCGTATTATGAACAACCCCCCTTTTGCAACGGAATTCCGTACCGATTATATATGAATTTGAGTGAACGACATCGACATTCTACGCTGACTTGACGACGACGACAACGACTCACGAACTTACCGCTTTTGACGGACCTCGAAAGTATCACATTACAAACAAATGCCGTAGTTGAATACAATTTGTGTCGCCATAATCTCCTCTCTGCTTTTTTTTTATTTCTAAAAGTCCAACATGTAGAACATTTCACTACTGCTATCCTCAGTTCAAAATAGTCTATATAGAAATTGCACCGATAGAATCTGACGATTGTCGGACATTTTCCGGTCACTTCCCATTTTTCAAATCAACTTTGATCCTTTCTATTAGCGTAAATAGAGCAAAAAGCATGATTACGACTTAAAAACGCGCATGAAGAAACAGAGACTGACTAGAGAGAGGAAGAGAGAGAGAGAGAGAGAGAGAGAGAGAAAGACAAAAAGAAAACGGAACATCGACAAGAAACCATACAACATTTACTATCTATTTATTTATTTTATCGCAAGAAACAAATAACATATATAATCAATGGTACTTCGTTTATGTTATAGCGGCGGCGGTGGCAACAAGAGTGGTTATAATAAAGGTAAACACCAGAACCATCTGGTGATTGTTTGTATCATTTATATTTTTTAATTTCTCTTCTAAACAAACAAAAACACAAGCAAACTATTACATCTTTGTTAGACGTAGGGCATTTCACGATAATTTTGGTTTTTTTTTTTCGTTTAATTTTCGTTCAAAAAGTTTGATTTTTTTTTTTGGTTTCTCTCACTTTGGGTTAAATATTGATGGGTGTAAAGAACAGAGTTCAAACTGATAATTATCTACGTTGGGTTTTGTATGAGTGTAGAAGAAATCCTATTTATGCAAGAAAACTCAATTTGGAATTGGTTTTCGAATCAAATTTTTGTTTGCTTCCCCAAAAGATATAGCAAAATACAACATAACGGTCTGAGAAGAAAAAAAAAACGTAAATGACTCATTTTCAACTATCATCTGTTTACTTGAGCATCACAATTTGTTTTCCAACAATTTAATTATAGAGGTGTAAAAAAGTGAATAACGTCAATTATTGCGGACATTTACAGAGCGCGTTCGAATGTTCCAACAAACTCCCTGTTTTTTTTCTTCTATATCGTAGTGTTAACGAGCGTTATTATTTCTCAACATTGTGTTCAGAGAGAAAATCTAGAGGTTTTATTACATTTTTAGCTAGAGTAGTTTTGTTTTTGGTAGTCAGGGAACAAGCATTGTTTGGTTTTTCTAGCTATAAGTTTAGGTTTAAGAAGAAGAAGAAGAAGTTCTTGTCTGAACACAAATAATTCGGTCAATTGGTATCATTTGAATTGTTATTACAACAACTACAACAACAACAACAAAAAAAGCCTTGTATGAAACCAATAAATTATTATTGCAAACGAGGTATCGACATAATCATGTATCAATTACAAGCACAAAGTCACAAGGTTTCACACAGATCAAATAACCAACCAATGTGGTTCCTTCAATGGTATGACGTACATTCACACGATTTCAGCTCAATGTGATTTAAAATAATCAATTTACAGGTGTTTTCCAGTGGTCGCATTTCCACATAATCACACAGTGCAATGAATATATCTTTTGTGTATTGTTGTTATGGTTATATTATAAAGGGTTTTTTACTTGGTTTTTTTTTTTTTCTTCAAAAGAGTCATTTCATCTAGAGTGTGTCTCGATTGAGAGATAATTCATTCGTCGAAATAATGAGTGTGAGAGTAATGATCAGTGGAAATTCTCCACGCCCTTTTCTCCTTTACATGGTTTTTTATTCGTCAACATTCGAGTTTAGGGGTGGTGTAAAGCATTTAAAGACAGATCCAATAATTTAGATGCATTTAGAATTGATCGAATTGATATGTTTTTCGTATATATATATATATATAGTGTTTGGTTCTAAATATTAAGTAATTGATTGTAAATGCAAGCGAATTAAAATGGTTTAATTTTCATTTTTTCATGTGCACGAGCAGGATATGATAGTGCTGGCAGTGGCAGTGGCGGTGGTGGTGGCAACGATAACATGATCGTCCAAGAAGATACCATTTTTGTGAGTGGAATGAGTCCACAAACAACGGAAGATGATATCAATGGTCATTTCGGTGCAATTGGTATTATCAAGGTAAATGAATAGCTCTAGCTACAATGTATATAAAACACGCATGTTTGGCTTCATTCTTAACACGCGGCTTTTATCTTGTTTTATTGAATTGAATTCATTTCATTACGATTTGCAGAAAGATAAAAAGACGATGAAGCCAAAGATTTGGCTGTATCGCAACAAAGAAACCGGAGAGTCGAAAGGTGAAGCCACAATTACCTATGACGATGCAAACGCAGCCAAATCCGCCATCTCGTGGTTTGACAACAAAGATTTCAACGGAGCTGTCATTCACGTTTCGTTGGCACAACGTCAAAATAATTGGCAGAAAGGAGGTAGCGGTGGCGGCGGTGGCGGTGGTCGTTTTGGTGGCGGCCGTGGTGGTGGCCCACCAGGTAATACATTGCAGCATTAAGCAATGAATGAAATATAACAATATTATGACAATATGTAACGCAAATGCAAATTTGTACGTTTCCAGGTGGTGGTAGAGATGGTGGAAATCGCGGAGGCGGATTCAATCGAGATGGCGACAACCGACGAGGCCCAGGAAACTCAGGTATTTTTTTAATCTCTCAGCTTGATATAGATCAGTACCTATGTAATCGGTGTTGAAAAAGCAAATAAATAGATTAAGCAATGCTATTTAGAATTCAACTAATAAGTTCGTTTTCTTCTACACAAAAAGGTGGAAGTGGCGGCGGAGGCGGTGGCGGTGGCCGTAATCAGGTAAGGAATCGATATTTTATTCAAAAATCGATTTGATTTCTGTTCGAAAATCCTGCAATATTTGCAAATGACTCAATTTCATTACCTTACTTTTCTATCTTTAAACTTAGCGCGATGGTGACTGGACATGCGGCAGTTGTAACAATACAAACTTCGCATGGAGAAACGAGTGCAATAGATGCAAGGAACCAAAATCAGGAGCAGGAGCTGGAGCTGGAGCTGGGGCTGGAGCTGGAGCAGGAGCAGGAGGTGGTGGTTTCCGCGGTGGTAACAGTTTCCAACGAAGAGATGGACCAATGCGCGGTGGCAACGATCGAGGCAATGACCGAAGTCGGCCATACTAAAACAAATACGATAAAAAACACTTTGATCTTATGACAGAGATTAACCATTAACCACATATTACTAACGTTCTCCCCTTTTTTTGGAAAATCAATAAACAATGTATTATGAGAATTAAGTATCATGATAGTTTCACAAATTTGCACTAAACGACTATATTCAATAAACAAATCCATAGATTCGTGTACTGAAAAACAGAAAAAATCACAAGCGGTATTTTATTTCAAAATCGATTTTTCTTTTCTATTCGCAGAGAAGTGTAGAACATCACAAGGAAAAACCGTATTCATAATAATAATCACAATGAAACACTACGTGTTAGTAATGTTCTAATATCTACCTGCTCCATAATCATGCACCGTAATTATCGTAATTTTCGCGATGTTCCTGAACCGTGCAAAGCAAAGATAAATGTTCAATTAGCTGTGAGTAGCTGAGTAAAGTAGCATCAATCGATCTTCTGATTCAATTTAAATTGTTTGAACAATTCGCCAGTCGTGTTTTTTCTTCTCTCTCTCTCTCTCTCTCTTAAGCAGAAAGCAGACGCCATTCTTCATTTTGTGTCTATTCAAGCAGATAGAAAATTTTCGATTCAACAGATGATGATGGTTGTGTATAATCGCGATTTGTTTCGCAGTAGCAGGCAATGTTCTGTACATTAACTTTTCCGTCGTAGTACAGTGTGTGAGTGAGTGAATCGAAATCCGTTCTCATTGTTTCTCAGCCAAGCAAAGTATTTGCTACATAACTCTTTTTCCGTCATTTGACGAATCGTCGTGAACAGTGCGCAAGGAATACAAATGACTTGTTGATAAATGATGATGGATGTGTGTGTGTGTGTGGATGCGCTGCGCGCGCGGCACACACATTCGAACAGTAAATGTTTCTCAAGTACCCCATGAGAGAATGAACGTACAAGACACATTTGCATTCATTTCATCAGTTCACCAAAAACAGAGAAAAAAAAATACCGAAATAATTCAGCGTTGCTAGTTCTGGCCGAAAGCGTCACTTGCTTTCCATTTTGGATATATATTTTAATCGGACTATTAAAAAAAACGATAATTACAATTGTTAGTCAAACATTTGTGCAATGTAATTTGTTGTGTGGTTGATTTTCTCTCTCTCTCTCTCTATCCTTCTTTTTTGAATATCGGTTCGAGGCTCGTTTTGGTTTTTTTTTATGTGCATTGAATGACTAAAATTAACTGCATTTTATTAACAGTGATTGGGTGTTTTTCCATTTTCAGATTAGATTCTCATAGTTGGTTTTATGCCCCTTTTGCTTTGTCTTTGCATTCGTCATTATCATTTTTGTGGTAAGACGGATGTGCGCACACATCGCTAGCTGCCTCGTTCGTTTGTTCGTTCGTTCGCTCACTCGCTTGCTTGCCACATACAGCCGCTTGGCTTGATGTACCAGCGTTTTGTGCACATAAGTATCCATGCGTATCGATCTAACTGTAAATTCAACAACAATATTTACTCGGCTATAGAGAAAGCCAAACTGCTGTTTTGAAATAACTTTAGAAACCACACTTAAGTTGCTCCAATCCTATTTTATTAAGTTGCGTAGTCGTCCCTCATAGTATCGTGTGTTATTAGATGCGTTCGACAGCCGTATTTGATATGTTTCTTCATGGCTTGGTGATTTAGACGCATCAATTCTCTGATTGTTGTTGTTGTTTCATTTTCTTTTCTAAATCAAGTATATATATATATTTCTTTATCTCGTTCTGTAAAGCCATTCCAATTCGCTGGAAATAGCGTATTTTTAAAGTCCCTTCTTCGTAATGTTGATTTTTTTTTTCTTTTACAAATGATTATTTGATATAAATATCAAAAATCATTCAACTGCGCCATACCATGGAATTAGTAGAAAGATTTCTGGTGGCCCAGCTCCACTCCAAATTTCCCCAATTGCATAGATGCGTTCGCAATCGTGTGAATTGTTGGCCGTTTTCCGTTCGGAGCTGGTTTCAATTTAGAGATTTTGAGTTGCTGACAGAGTTTGTGGTTTCATGATGACGACAATGACGACGACTGCAAAGAAAACGATCCAGAGAGCATGTACAACAATGTTTAAAGAATAGTCATAGAGACAGAGTATTACATAGTCACACGCACACAGTCGCACAAAATAGTTCATTTAATGCTTCAGTTGTTTGTGGGTTTCTTAATAAGTTTCAGTTTTCTTTTGGCTCCGTTTTCGTTCTTATTCGAATTTACCACGGCATTGATGGAGCCGAAGAAGGAAAAGAGCATTTGGCCATTTGTTGTTTGTTTTTTTTTCGTTCGTTAGTTCGCTCGCTCATAGTCGTTGCTGTTAATATTTTTCTTCACTCTGCTGTAGCGCGTCTAGTTGTTACTAGTTTTCACTATTTTACGCCCGTGCTGCTGCTGTTGCTGGCACTGCGCGTTGATGACAAAACCATGTGCTCCATGTGTTTTCGCTCTCACATCCGCGGAGTCATTAGTTTGGAGGAGGAAAAGAAGAAGAAAAAAAAATCCACTTTTGTTTGCTCGGAATTCTCATTGAAATTAGAAATGACATTTCTATACACGGAATTGAAGGAATACAAAACCCAAGCACATAGCGGCTTTTGTTCAGCGAGCACAACTATTTCGATTGCCCCATCATCGTATTGGAAGGGAAACAAAGGCGATGAGAACGCAAATACGGATTAGTAAAGGCGAATACAACAGCTATAGCAACAGAAAAATGAAAATAAAATAGTTTTTTATACTCTGTATACATGTTCGGCCTCTGCCTCTCTATGTGTGTATGCCTGTGCATGCCGTTTGAATGAAGAAGCAAAAGGAAAGGAAGAAGAAAAATTATGCTGTATATTTAGATACTTTCCGAGTCCTAGAGTTCAATGAAACCTTCTCGCTTCAAATACCATAAATAAATAGCTACAACACACACAATACACACGCACATTTAGAGTGAACGCGCTAGTTTTACGCTATTTTATGCGGTTCCATGTGAACAAAAAAAAAACAAATCGAACAGTGCATGAGCACGATGAACATACTGCTGCAGCAATCGTACCAAATGAAACGGTGTTTTGTTCCTCGCGCATTCGCTGCTGCTGTTGCTGCGATCGTTGATGCGCGGATATGGTTCGATTTGTGAACGGGTGGAATCGGTTCATCCTTAATTGATTTTGCTTCTTCCATTTTTCGGATTTTCTTTCGAGCTAATGAAGGTCGACATCGGGGATCACGCAACAAATTCTTGCTACGTGGTCAATCATTTGCCGGCTTCTGATTTCCAGGTGCTCAATGACAATGCATGTGTTTTTTTTTTCATCCTCTATCGAATCCAATTAGATTGAAAAAAAAAACATGCCGGGTGGTTTAGCATCGTATTTTAAATTCCAAATCCGATACAAACAAAATACGAAATGTGAAAATTAAGTGGCATTAAACATAAACTTAATTCAAATTCTCACATTTCCATTCGAAAAAGTTTCCCCGAAATCGTTAGAAGAAAAATTCTCTCATCCATTTCCATTTGAGTCTGGTGCGATGATGCTGGTAGCGAAATGATTGTATATTGTCCTGCTAAATATGAAAAATGACTGTTCAATAGAAATCTCAGTTTTACGCCCTGTTTTCAATGTTTTTCCACTGATTGTTTAACAATTAGGATACTCAATCACTGGCAAATGTTCACACACACACTGCAAAGCTGCTCGCTGTGTGAAAATGGTAATCGAATGAGCATGGACACACATTATATGAATTATGACACATCTATAATGAGGTTCTCTATTGAGGACCACATACGGTTGTTATTTCACCACGCACAACATGCGCATGCACAAAATGATCACCAACATATTTTCCCGCGTTGCATCAATTGGGATTCGCTGTCGCAACAGTCAAAAGGGAAAGTCGGATTTATTAATAGCAATCTTCGGCATTTGTACTTTCGATCGTATCCTTGCAATAGAGAACTCATCAATTCAATGATGAGGTCAAAGACCGCATATTGAATACCAAAAATAGCAATCACTTGAGATATGCCTCCCTCATATTGAGCACAAACTCAGTTATTATCGTATTGTGACTGACTGAGTGGAACTACTTGAGCAGTGTACGTATATCGACACAAATTGCATACGAAATTGTGTGTGTGCTGTGCATTCCATATGGTTTTGTTAATTGGTGGTGACACACTCACCCTTATGATCGTTCGGATTTCTTTTTTTTTCAGCTTCGTTTTAATTATTATCCTGAACTGTGTGCGCGTCTTATCTTAAGTTTTACACGCATTGCGCATACAAAAATAACAAACGATAAAAGTTTCCGCTTTGGGAAGAAGCGAAGAAGGGTCGTTCATGATTTCATATTACTGCGTACAATAACACATACACATACAGTCGCAAACAAAACATTTATTAATTTAATCGTTTTATTTATAGATTCAGTGTTTTTATCATTCATTGAACCTATTCGCCCTTCAATATTCAATTGCTGCATGCAGCAAAAATGACGCGCACTATTCTTTGGGCTGGATTTTTTTTCTTCTTCGTATTCATTCATTTCACTGCAAATGCAGTATGGGTAACATCCGAAGGGGGAATTCCATATGGTTTTTGTTTAAGAATGACGACGACAACGACGACGATGAATGCTCTACATATTTGTATTTACGGGTGTTGTCGTCAGCACGTTTCCTTCAAAAACATTTGAATGATTAAAAGTCCCGTAACACAACACAAACACAACGCTCTAGCGGTAATTGGTGCGAGATGCGGGTTGAACCATTTTCGAATGTACTTTAAATACGCACAATTTCAATTGCATAGCCGAGTAGTTTTCACTGTCGCCAATCGATCTCAATAGTACACATTCGCGCATATTGTATTTTTAAATGTTCGGAGCAAATGAATGAACGCGTGTTCATTGATTCAGAATGTGCTCGGCTGGTTGACTGGCTGGCTATATATTCAATTTTATCACCCTAAACGAATTTCCATTCTCTATCTCTCTCTCTCTCTTTTGTTTTGGGAAAACAAACTCTATAAAATAGGAACTTCGATTTTAAAATGACGCATAAAATGTTTGGAATTTGTTTTCGAATAAAATGTATTATCGGAAGAAGCTCTTAATGTATAGTTTAGTACA